CTGCAACTGTCTACATGTCCACCTTCATGAGACCAGCAAGCATCTGCAACCACGCTAAAGCCTGAGTCTCCTGCAAATTCCTGCGCCCAGTCGCCTTGCAGCTCAAATTGCAAATGGTGGGAGTCTTAAATCATCAAATATGAGTCATGAGCCTTCTGAGAGGAGTGGATCAGAAAACGGAAAGTGAGTCGCTGCTTGCATTGCTACGACTGTTTGAGAGACACACCCAGTTAAAACGTAATGACGTAATGATCTTCCTGACCAAGACTTGTTTCCTGTATGAGAGTTTCAATCTGGAGAGAGTTTCCTGCATCGAGAGTTTCCTGTATCTTGCTTTAGAGGGTCTAAGACTTGGGTGAGTGTTACACACAACGTAGATTGGTCCCCTCAGTCGCAGGCTGCTAGCGTGCGGCATTTGTACAGGACCGACAGGCGCTGGCCTCAGGATTCACGTCGTCACCAAAAAGAAAATGTCCCAAAAGCTCCAGCTAAGCTGAACTTTAAAACCGAAAGGATGCTTCCACTAATATAGCGCTTCTGCTGACGTGCTGAGGAGGCTCACCCATCGAAGAACCCCGGCCTTAATGATGCCAACACACAAACAATCGGAAAACAAATAGACATGCCATTGGTATGGTTCAACATGCGGCCCTTCTGTTCCAGCCAAACATGTGCATGCCAACACTCAGCACCGTTTCATGCAAAGTAGACATGCAAAAAGGTGTACAAAATATATACGGTTTTGTTCACCTGGCTCTTTCTGAGACATGGCACTCAGCAGTCATGGGCCCTGCAGCCTCCATGTGCTGTCTGAACTGCTCGGACCTTGAGAAGGCCATTTGGAGAAAGACACAGGAAAAAAAATCCATTTCAAAGCTATTTAACGTCTGCTCTTAAGAGAAAAACACTTGGAGAAACACCACTAAAAAACTGATGGAGAAAGCCCATCCAATCACTCATTCTACTACAGGAATCTACAGGACATGTATTGTATTGTATAGGACAAGGATGGACAAGGGCAGGAGAAGAGCAACTCTTCTGCCAAAAGTTCACCTGGGCTTCCCACATAGCTGGTCCCATGCCGGGCCTCATTGGCCGTGGCCTGCCATCGAATGCACAACACGCGTGATCAACTCCACAGTCAGTCAGAACCAAAGACCATATAATAACAGGCCATGGTGACAATATATTGACAACCTGATGACATGTGTCATTACTTTCTGACATAGTAGCAGTTTTCTATCATCCAGAAATCATCATAAATCTGTGTCCCAATTGTCCCGCATTTTGTGAGAAGTGAGTACTGCCTAAGAAAATCAAGTGTTTTCTGAGTTCTCGGAGAGAGCTTCTGATTCTAATAAATGGGTTCCAAACAAAATAATGATGCCAGAGTGTCCCCTGCATAGGGCCAGCTTCTCGCCAGGCCGTCTCAAGATCCTCAACCGTGGCGAGCTATCAATGCCCGCCGACTGCAAGGAAACTCGATGAACTTCGTGCTTACAGGTACAACTGCAACTGGCAAACTTCTTCGTGTCTTTAAATATATAATAATATATATATATATATGCTCTCTGAACATCTACGGAGAAACTCTGAGAAACTCAGTATCTAACTGAGAAAAGTTCACTGAGAATCTTTGAGTCCCTGGCCCCAGCCCTCATGGGGTCGAGCATCTGGCCGCCCATGGGGCCCATCCTGAGCTTTGCAAACGCACGCGAACGCCGGCCTCGCAGTGCGTGCGGACGCCGTGCCAGCGATGCGAACGCCACGGCTTCTCACTGAGCTGAAGACGGTGGCCTCACCCAGGATTCATTCAAGCCATTTCTGCAGGGTTTATCATGTTTACTGTGTATATTTTATTGTGTCTTGTCAAACCAACAGTGGATGATCACCATTCACACAAGAGGCCTTCAGTTAAAATGGTGATGATCTCTTGCCGGCTCTTGCAGTGAATATGACAACCCGAAGGCGTCAAGCATTTCTGCAGCATCCAGCCGAGGATGCGTCAACAGCAACTCTTCAACCGTCCTTCCGTCTATATTGATCTATTTTGTGAACCATATACCTTCAAATAGTTTCAATTACATCTAAAATAGTAGGTATTCTCTAACAAAATAGCATCCTCCCTGTAGAATACTTGACACCAGTTTGCAGATGTCCGGCCTCATCCCTCCCAGATAGCCCTCGCGAAACTGCTGGGCATGGTGCTTGTCCTGATGTCGACCCACCGCTCACTGCTCTGCAATTTCAGAGTGAGCTGTACTTGTCATTTTATCCATTGATCAATTGTGGTCAACAATTGGGACTTGTGATGACTTGTGCAAGTTCGTACAGCTGTTGCTGTCAGGGCAAAGAGGACTACTGGTGTCATTCAAACTCACACTCATTCAAATTCATTCAATAAACTATTGACAGGTGTCGTACTGGTGTCATTCAAACTCATTCATGCTTGGGACATCTTGGGACGTTTGGACTTGGGATCTGACTCCAGTCAGGGCATCGAAAGCTCTTGAGAGTGGATTGGCACCAGACAGTCCGTCGACACTGCAACCTTGGCACAGCTTTCGTCACCTCTCTGAATGCGCCCATGTCTCTTGAGATTCATATGATCTTGAACGTTCTTCAAGCATCAACTTGAGTCGTCAAGCGCCACACTATCTGGTTTGAAAAATGGCCTCATCACCTCAGTCGCTGCAAAATGCCCTCTTCGGATCTCGTATGATCTCGTCTTCTCCCGTCACGGCTGTCACGGCCGCGGCCGGGCCCCCGAGTCCGCCACGCCAATGAGGCGCTGGGCCGCTGGGGGGGGAAGATCCGACGATGGGGATCCAAAAGATCCTCGTGAGATGGTATTTTCCTTTGCTTCTTGCTGTGTTTGAAGATGTTTGAAGGCTTGAGGCAAGGGTTCGTCTTGAAAATGTGCTGTTCAATGAATTTGCTGTATTCAAGCTGGTGAGCAAAAAAGAAGGAGTGATGTGCTCATCTGCTCATCCTTTCAAGTATTGATTGCTGCCTCCACATCACCATGCAACCAAAGAAAGTAAAGCAACTCAGAAAACGGAGCACTAAGAAAATCTAAATACAAACAATTAAAAAAAAAAAAAACAATCCAAATAAGAAGCTTTGCTTCATTTTGCGTGTTTGAAAGGACAGCGACTCGCAGCAGTGCGCTGCGGTGTGTCGAGTCGAATGTAATGCAACGTCCGGTCTTGAGGGATACCGATCCAATCCGATCCAGTCTTGAGGGACCTGGAGAACCAAAGACTCTTTGCAACATCTGGACGTCACTCATCAATTCATCATCGAGCTATCTTGCAACTGTCTAGTCATGTGGAAGCAACAAGGGTTGACAAGCAGAAGGTCCTGCTAAATCATGTTCTTACACTTATATAATCTTATATAATACGAATTCAAAACTCAATGATTCTATGATACTCAATGCTTCATGAGGTCCCGTGAGGTAGCTTCCACAATCAGGAGCTAGTTTGAGTATATAAGAGTGTGAAACTGTCGACTATGCTGACAAGGATTCAAGTTCACTCTGGAACACAAAAGGCGCCGCTGCAGGAGCAGCCAGGCGGAAACTCTTTGCTCCATCAGATATGGTCACTTGTCCGGCGCAAAGCGGCACTGCTAAGCACGCACTTCGACCGCCAGGCCCTTGGTCATCAAAATTCAATGGAGAATTGAAGCAACATCATCAAGGTGAGTTGCAAGTGAGCTGCACTATTGCACATAAAAAGCAGCAGCTTGAAGGTCAAGCATCGGCTTTACTTGTCACAGGCCTTGGGAATACGTCCAACGGCTCTCAACCCACAAAATAAAGCGGTCGTTGAACTTGCTTCAGCAACGCCGTGAATCACCGAGGTCCAAGCCAAGACATGGATGGATAGGATGAACAGGATTTAATGGCATATGCGGAATCCCAGCACCTCTCCAAACTATTCCAAACTCATTGACTCTCAGAGTTTGGATGAGTTTGGAGACAAACTGCCAAGCTTAAAGGCTTCGAGGACAAAACCCTACATCCTCGACTCGATTTCATCACATTCAACCAGGTCCTGGACTCAAGTAGGGGTCTGGTGCCCCATACGGAAGGTGAGCCAAACCAGGATGTCCTGACCAAAAAGACGTGGCAACGTTCAGATGTTGGGTGTGCACCAGGTGTTCGATGGCCCAGCCTGGCATGCTTGGCCTGGTGCTCAGGTATCAAACCAGCTTTATGATAGAGTGTCTGCAGTTGAGGGGGTGGCAAACCTATCTAGTAGATTCTAGTAACTAGTAGGCCTATCTGTAGGGGTCATTATGCTTTGCTCAGGCAGCGCTTTGACGGTCGAGTCTTAACCATGTTTGACGGCGAGATAAACACCATCAACTGCAGCTCTGCTGCTGATACATAGCAGCTGCTGATGAGGCTATGATGCTGTTGACGCGCAGGAGAATTGCCTTTCAGATCATGTCAGGCCCGAGCAACTCAAGTACATGGATGTTGGACAAGCATTCAAAACAGCTCAATGCTTAGTTGTTGGTCCAGCTGGGTACCTATCTGTCCTTGCAACCCATCAGACAATATCTCGCGCCTCGCCGCGCTCCAGCAGCGCATCTATGTCCTACAAGGTGCAGGCCAGGAGGAAAACAATCATCATCAATCATCTATAACCTGCACCCCCTAGCTGAAATCTGCAAGACTAAGACTCTCAAAAAAACCTTGTTACCAACTGATCTTCTAAACTATTTGGGAGTATTTGGGATGTGAGGATTTGCGCCACGTTGAACCAAGAGTCTTGAGGACTCTTGCAACCCAAAACGGCCCAAATGAGCCGGTTCGTTCCCTCGAAGTTACCCCTCGCCTGTTCGCCCTGCGCTCTCTCGAGGGTCGCTCCAATCTGCAGCAAATGCTGGTAGATCTCTTTGCGATGCCTGAGCGCAAGCTGAGGCTCTCTCTGCGCTGCTCTGCTGCGGATCCTCATCTGGCCCTGCTTTCTAGAAGGTCTGGCCCTGTCTGGGCTAAGTAGTGCATGACAAAATGAAAAACAGCTGCCCTTGGCAACTCTATTTCCTGCTTTGGCGCTCTGGGAGACGTTTGGTCTTTGCAAACGCCGAGTCGGCCCGACTCAGGCAGCTTTGGCTCAGTCGTCCCCAACTCTTCGATTCGACGGCCTATGCCGCTTTCTTTGCAACTTCTGTCACCGACTTTGCTCGTGTAAAGAGATAGCCACCCCCAACAGATAAAGCGATCCCTGATGCCTCAAGTGCCAGTGAGTGCAGTTTGACAAGACAGGCTGACAACCCACCTCAAGACAGTCGCTGAGCTGCGAGTTTCACAATGCCCTGCCCGGACTTAGTGCCCTGCGCTAAAGGCGCTGATGTTGTCCCCATAACACAGAGTCAGAGTGACAATCATCAAGGCCTGTTAAGGGTTCGCACTGCTGGACCACTCTGCTGTGAGTCACTGCTGGGCACAGGCCTTCACAATCGGTGTCAGAACCGAGAAGGCCTTGGAATGGAACGGCAAAAGGAGGAGCGAAGAGAACGGCAAAGGGATGCCAGGAGATGCCAGGAGTAAATTCAAGGCAGTTGAACTAGTGATATGTAATGAACCAGTATGATATAATAAAGCAGTATGATCCAATGTCTCTGAGAAACCAAAGGACTCAGCTTGGACATCACCAAGAGTTGGATGAACCTCAGCACTGACTCAGCAGTTAATGTGTGCGGGGAGTGGCATGGAGTGGCAAACTGCTATGCGGACATCTATCGTCTATCTCCAATTACATCATCTACGTATGGTCTCCGATTTTCCAGCTCGGGTGCTGATAAAAGAAGAAGGCGATGCTGCTCGCCAACATGTCCTGAGATCTTAGGGGCGTATATTCGATTCAAGCAGCCAAACACAAGCCAGAATTCACCAATGTGCAAAGAAATTCATCCAAGCAACCGATCCAAAGCTCCAAAGCCGTCCACGTGACATAAGACTTTGCCTCGGAGTCATCCCCTCCGGTGAATGCTGAGTTCAGCTGCAGAAAGTTACTTTCGTCGCAGCATGTCGCAATGTGGCAATGTATTGTGCATGCTGTACAAATGGTCTGTCCTTACATGAGTTTGGCCGTGTTTTTTTATGTTCTCTGTGCGCTACCAGCAACACAACCACTGCTCCCCTGCTTTCCCTGCCACTGCAGCTAAGCTGCACGGCTGGCAACACCTTCGCGGCTGGGGTGCAAGGGAAGGTTGGGAAAAATCCATGCAGGTATGACTCAAAAGAATAGGATACTGATATCGGATACTGCTCAAACCCAGTGGTCAAAGTGCAAATAGACTATGCTGATATAGGCTGCAAGCCATGTGTCTCTAGACTTCAATTGTACCCTTGCAATGTTTCAGGTTGGGCTAAGACCCACAAGCGTTACATGGGCACCTCGGAAGCTTCCACTGCGAGCTCCAGGCCAGGCATCAGGAAAGTCGACAACCCGCTGACGTTGAAAAACACCGCCAAATCATCAAGCCTTCACTGCAACGGTTGGTCCGATAAACTCTGTTAAACCTCTCACCTGATTCTTCACCATGACCAGCAACATCCAGCAACAACGACAACAACAACAAAAACATCGAAGTCAAGAACCAGGTGCTGGTTCAGTTTGTTTCTCTGAAGCCGCTGCAAGCAGAAAGTCCTGCCTGAGTGGTGCCAAGGTCGCATTCACAGGCATCCGGGAATCCGGACATGTCAAAGGATAAGCCGGATAAGCTGAGTCAACTGCACAACCGAGCAACAGCAAAAGGCTAAGTTGGAGAGCATTGCAAAGCAGACTCCAGCTGATGAGATGCTGCCGCCACTGGAAGATGCCATTGCAACCTCAGGCCGCGAGACGAATCTCTGTTTGAAGAGTCACGGTCCCTCTCCCCACCCGTTTTTCTCGGCAAGTCGCTCCTCCGCAAATGGGCAACAAAGTTGCAAGAACTTGCCATCGAAATCGATGGCCCAACAGAAATCCCACAGAAACCGTTGCGACCGGCTCCATGCAACCTCATGCGGCAAAGTGAACTGTGAAGTTCCAACCAACCTCTTCGACTCTTCTTTTGAGTTCCCGGCAACCAAGAGCTTACTGGAAAGCAGTTGGTTGAACAAACAAAGAGGGACAACGAAAGCTAAGCGAGTCGCTCTCAAAAGGCTACTACAAGAAGACATCACTGTGTCAATGTGATCAAGAAACAAAATAACATGTCCAAATTCCAGGAGAAAACTAATGGAGAGTCTGTACCAAATGAAGCTATCATGGATAACTCAAGGTGCAGCCAATGTTCGGATGACGTTCACCATGCCTGGGCTCATGTGAAGAGCAGCTGCATTGAACAAAATGAAGCCACCAGTCCACCTGAGGATCAGCAGGGTGAAGCGTCTTCCGACCACAGTGTAAAGTTTTGTGTGTAACCCTTGGAATCATAGGGAGTCTTTCGACTTCATAATTCATAATCATAATTCAGTTTTACATCTGCAGAGGGCGTGACGGTTGAGTTCCTAGTCACGCCAGCGAAGCTGTGGAGATAAACTTGAATGAAGTTCAGAGGCAAACTTTTCTACCTGCAGTGTCACACCTAGGCCTAGGCTCTAGGATGCTCTAGGCGTTGGCGTGCGCAGCTGGGGGACACAATCATCTACAGTATATGTTAACGCTGTTGCCTTATACTCCAACGCCCCCTGTGAACGATGCGGCTTACAGGGCAATGTTTGGTTTGCAAGATGTTGCAAACATTGTTCTGAAGGTGAACATTTGGCTTTGGAAACCGCATGGTTCAGCGCATTCGAGTGTAACGGGTGAATCAAAACGTTTGAGCCATTGTCCATCTCAACTGTGTCCATCAGCTGCACTTGGTTGGGGCACTCTTGTCCTCAATGGAGCTGAACATCTTCTAGTCACTTCTTCGAGGCATTTGGCGGCCTCCGTACGGAGCGTGTTTGACTGTGTGTGTGTGTCGTTCCTGTGCTCTCACTCACTCTCTCTCTCTCTTCTTCTTTCTCACTGTAGCTCTTTTCATGGCTGGATCTGAAATAACATGTGCTTCCTTCCTGGAAGCAAAGGTGATTCTGCTCGCTTTTAATTCTGTAGTTGTGGACAAATATCCTACGTAAGGAGTTGCAATCATTACGAGGTCTCCTGGTTGCCACTAGTGCCAAGCTGTCGGCAAGGCTCGCCGTTTGTCATGGGTTCAGTGGCTTGCTTAGTCAGGCATCCAATGGTGGTTGGCAGTGCAGTGTGCGTAGGATGCAAAAACGCTGTATATGGCTGTAGCAAGGAGAGCGTTTTTTGGCTAGAACGAAGCTTGACGTACCAAACACGGAGAGAGTGATGAAGTTTGGCCAGGGCACACGACACTCAAAGGCAAAACATCTAGCAGCACTGCCTTTGGAGCCCAAAGGCAACCTTTGCGAAAAGAACAAGCCTTAGCATCCAGAATCCAGTGTTGACTGCTGGCTGAGATAGCAATAAGGCTACGAGTTAAGGTCTTGTCCAGTGTCCAGCTTGATGCTGCCACGGTTCAATACCAGATAAAATTGCGGAGATTGCAAATTGTGCGAAGCAAAGGAGCAGGGGAAGAGGTGCTTGATTGGTACACCTAAGGATGTCTATTTCGATGCAATGCAAAAAGCTCCAAGACACCCAGTAAATACTTACATCCCTCTCGGCCCAGGAACCTCTTCGTGTATATGATCATGACCAGTTGGGTTGCCACCAAGAGGAATATCCTGACAGATTTGCTAGAAGATTTCAGCATACTTGCCCTTGAATGCGCAGGATGCATGGCGCAAGTCATAAAGTCTCAAAGAATCCATCAGACTCACTGCATCTCAAGAGTCCACCCAAGCATTTCCATCCATTCGTGGCTAGCAAACACCTGCAGTGAGCAATTTCCGTACCACTTGATGGTTTACAGAGTTGAAAACAACCATGCCTTGGCTTCATTCGCTGCTTTCCGTGAAGGCGTTGCTTCCGGTTGGTGCGCCTCTGGGTGCAGTGCTGCTGTGACTTGGCATCGTCAAGCTCAGGCCATGAAATGGATCCAATCTGCCTGATCCCTATCTGACTTCTGCTTCGCTCCGGGGCTGGCGTTTCGCTGACGCACCTGCAAAAATGGGACATCCTGTCATCACAAGATCCTGTCACTGATGACTCAATGAAGCCATTCATCTACAGCCACTACAGCATACTATAACATCCTTGCCTGGGGCTTCGCATTGGCAGCTTTGCTGACATGCTGGATGGACGTCATGGGAAAGCTGGCAAGGAGATATGGGACTGGCTCATTGAGATCTCAATTCGGATTGCCACCCGGTCATCCACCCTTGGGGATCTCCTTGTGACTGTTGCTCTTTTCTCGTGATTGTGATGTCTTGTGCACTGAGACTTTAGACTACTTGAGCAATCGTGGAAGCCGAGAGAGCAAGAAGCGAACCAAAACCTTCCAATATTGACAAGCCGCATGAAGCCTCAAAGTGGGAGGGTTGTTGGTTTCTGAAGATTGGAGTCTGGTCAGGCCAGTGCCTGTTGCCACCTCTCATCACCGTCACCACAAGCAGACATCCTGAGCCTGGGACACCTGAGATAAAGGTGGCAGCCCATCCTAGCAGGACGAACGATGCATTCTGCCGCAGTGTCAGGAGACTCTCAAACAAGCCGCTTGGTCTCAAAAAACCGATGAGAAGTGCTGGATTGGATTCTTTTTCGGCGTGGCATGATGGCTCCATTCATGGAATTTACAAAATAGGCTGATGTTTCATCCAGCCTCTGTTGGTTCCTGTGCAGGGAGCTGTGGCTTTGATAGAAACCATCCAAGCATGTTCCAGAAATCTCTAGAATACAAGGACATACACAGCTTTGGGTATGGCTCAAACATGGCACAAGTATCCAAAAAAAGAAGTTGGTAGAGCATATTTGCCAAAACCATACCATCCATTTCTAATTCACCTATGACAGGCAAGCCCTCGATGATCTTAGATAAATGAAATAGGCGGAACTGCAAATCTGACTGTACTCACATGGCCTCTATCATTCCATTAATCCTCTCAATAGCAGCCTGACGTTCCAAGGAATAAAAACTCTGCTGTATTCTGACATCAGGACTCTGTACCAGAATTCATGCGCATCGAAACCGAAATGCATCGAAAGGCCAATACACCAAATCTACACCATGCCTTGTGATCTGCCATGAGGTCAGCATTGTGGTTGTGCACCATGATGGTTTGGTGGAGATCACGCTGGGCAGGGCGGGTCTTTCTCATCAAAGTGGAATCCACAATCGGTGCAAAATGCATGCGACATTCACATGTCAATTGATCTTCTGGTCCTAGTCACCAAATATGTCCGTTTGTGATCGCTCTTCGATTCTCTATTGGATGTTAAACAAATCATGCTTCCTCTCTGGATTTGTGAGAAAACCCTGACAAAAGCCTTGATAGCAGCCAGCTCCTGAAGCACCGCACTGACAAAGACGCAGTCACAAATTTGGTCTCTGCGCTCCTGGTCTCTGCGCTGCTGGATGGTGGCCAGAGCTCTGTCCAAGTTCTCCTGGATCAAGTCTCCACCCAGGTTCTTCACTGAAGATCATGGGAATGGTACCAGGATGGAGTCACCGGTATCATTATATAAGTATCACAGAACCTTCAAGGCTTCACGATACGTATATCTTTCTGAACTCGAACTCCAAAGCGCCATGATCACAAAGCTCATGAGCTCCTGAGAGACAGGTTCTTTGCCCTTTGCCTCACATAGACTCGCATAGACCGACCAACGTTTGCGGTGTCTGCCCGAAAATGGAAAAAGCTACAACGCGCTGGATGCCTCGACCGCCTTCTGGCTCAGCAACATCTCCACTCGCTGGATCTGAACGATGGAGAACATGGCCAAACAAATTGGAAGAATAATTGTACTCAGAATGATTCACAATGTACATCGGTTCGCATAAGAAGTCTCGAACCATGACTTCTCAAAAAATCCTAGCCCGAATTGAAGATCTTCTTCATACTTCATACCAGGCGGGTGGGGTCTTCTCACAAATGTCTCAAAGGATGGTACACCAAAGCATACCCATTGTGCTGTGTGGTTCCTGAACTCGTAGGTGCTATTTGGGGGGGTTCTTGGTTCTTTCCTTTTGTTTTTTTTTCTGCTCTCTCTCTCTCTATCCCTCTTGTTTCGTCCTTCTCTTCTCTGTATACCTGTGGAGCAAACTTGTGTGCAGGCAAATAATAAATGCATTGAACCACCAAAAATTATACGGATTGTGTGAAAGTCTGGATGCTAGATTCTAGATCAGAGACGACCAGAGATCGAAAGAACATCAAATCGAAACCTCTAAGGGACCATTTACGTCATCGGGTTCATAAGTGCCTCATAGATCCTGTCCAGAATAGAAAGTGAGAGAATGAGAAGGGACCCCGGGAGCAAGACGATCGGCCGCAGTGTTCCCCGTACCTTGTCCGCTAACGCTGCAAAAGATGATTCGACTCGCCGCAATTCTGCGTGCACCTGGCGAGGTCCCAAGGTGCAACCAGGATAGTGCAAAAGGCATGCCATGATCGTCTTCTTTCATATTTCTCCTTCATTCACGATTGTCCTCCTGAAAGCACCGTTCAGACTTGTTGGCAGGATTGTATCGAGTATGTTCGACTATAGAGTCGTGCTAGTCATCACAATCCCAGCAATGACTTGAGCAATCGTGTCGATTCACCCTGTCGAAAATCAGAGACCCTCATTTGCACAGGTGTGTTTGTCACTTCCGTGTGGCCTTCTCCCAGCAAGCAAACAGGAAGCACAAGAATCAACATGTCTTTCTCTCTTTCTCTCTCTCTATCTCTCTCTCTGTACACACATTGGCGTCCTTGCTCCTAGTAGCGATGCAAGGAGCCCCTAGTAGCTTCTTGTTCCTAGTGGTAAGGCCAGGAGCCCCTAGCAGGCTGCTAGATTAAGATACGACCTGTTTGGATCCTGAAGTGAAAGTGAAGAACCTAATTGAGCCACTCTAAAAACCTGGAGTCACTCCCTATGTCGTATCACTTTCCTTGCGCGAGGCCTTACGCGCTACTTACGCGGCCCTCACTTTTGCTTACGCAGAGCAAACTTCCGAAATGCTTACGCGAAATGCTTACGCAATCTTACGCAACCCAGGGTATTGCTTACGCGGAATTCGATATGACAAGGTCCTTACTTAAGATGTAAAGGCAGGTTTTTAGAGCGGCTCAATTGAGGAGGCGACAAGGGACATCACATCTAACCTAGCACCTTTGCCAAGATCGGCCTCTCCCATACGTTCACCCACGAGCCTGCAGCTCAGACGATCTTGTAATATTCCCCAGCATGAAATGAACCCTTTGGCTGATGTAGTTCAGCATGTCCTGTGCAAAGGTTGCCATCTGCAGCTGAAAGGTCCCTCCATCAATGCAAACCAGAGAAACACCTCGGTTCAAAGGCACTTGTCTGACCCTCTCACATTTTCCAACCATAAAGTTTGACACATCGAGGAAAAACATCTCGCAAAAACACATCGAAACCATCCCTGCTCATCTCCTGCGACACCGATTCATCGGCTCTTGGTCGTTCTAAACCTCGGGACCAAACAACTCCGAGGTCGTCGTCGGCACGGTCGCAAAACAAATGCAAGTTGTAAAGCAATCTTCAGTGTTCATGTCCACTCCTCCAGTCTAGTCTTGGAATTTGGGAGAATTCAATAATTAAACAATATTAAACAGAATCGTAGAATATCGTAGACACTGACCTACCTGTAACTTTGCAAAAGTCTTTGGTGGATCTCGACGGGCATTCACATTGGGGTCATGCTTACCATGTTCCCCCTGCCTGGAGGCCCCTCTAAGAGCACTCGACCACCCGGATAGGCAGCTGTGCCGCGATGCACCTTCATCAGAACACGTGGCTGCAAGTGGCTTAGAGGGGAAAGTAAATATCAAGCCGCGCGAATCCTCGGTCTGCGGAACTCTCCTGCCTGCTGGAGTGGTGCATGTGGCAATGCCATCCTTACGCGGGCCTTGGCTTTCGACATCTTGCGACCAGTTGGGTTCATCAAAATGTGCAGTAGCAAGGACGCTATTAGGAGACCATTACTACTAGTAGCAAGGACAATGTAAAGTGGCGATCGTCACAGCAGACCGAGCGGCATTAGTTTCCTTGCCATCGATGTCGATTTCATTTGCTCTGAAGCCCAAATGAAGCCACATGCCAATCAAGAACCGAGTCTTCAAGCCACACTCAATGAACCCACAAGTCGAACCCGTTGAGTCAGGCAACATTGAAACCGTTTGAAACACATTGAAACGCATGTTGTTGGCATCGCTTTCGTCAACCGGAGATCCCAAGCCGTCGAGGCGGAATCAGGTGCTACAGCAGCTATGGACAGTATCACAAGCGATGGCCGTGGTCAGCTCTCCCTGTGCAGCTCAGAGCGCACAGCATTTTTCAGTTCTCGCGATGTCCAAACAAATTGTGGAAAAACGTGCGACAACCGGAATAGCAGAATACAAACACAATAAGCAATAAGTTGAACCAGTTCCATCAACTGTCCAAAGGTTTGGGAAAACATAGGAGCGATGATCAAGACGCTTGTATGAAAAAATGGAATAGTTGGAAAGGTATCGTCTTTTTTGTTTTGGTATGCGCACATGGGCCTCAAACAAAAGCATTGCAAGAAAAAGGTGTTGGCTCCCCGGTTGGAATCGTAGAAGGCTCCTAGAATGCGTATTTCATCCCAACGCCAGCTGTTCCCAAGGCCCATGTGAGCATAGACATGGTTGCATCTGCCCTGCCTGAATGAGAGGTCTGCAGCGATGGAGAGATGGTCGCTCGGGTGAAGCACCTCAAAGTTCTTCTACGGTCGATCAAAAAACTGCTTGCAGCAAAGTGAAGTTAACCAAGTTGACTGTATCTTCACTTGAGGCCGAGGGTAGGTGACGAAAGCTAGCAGGGATGCATCCGTGTCAGTGGAGGCGAAGCATACAGCGCCGTCCAGTGACAAAGGATTGGTGGGACATCAAGCGGAGTGAGGCAATTTTGTTTCATAGGCATGGGGCTGTTGGAGGGATGGTTCACAAGGTCTCGCTCATGAGGTAAAACGTTGTGAACATGTAAGACACACGGACAGCAATGACACAGCCAACCTTAGCTTGTGAATCTGTTGAATCTGTTGCATCGTATCCCAAAACCTCCACGGAGGAGTTGAACCAAAGTGGAGGCGTCCCAGGGGGGAGTTGAACCCACGGGGGGGGCCCTCTACATATGAAGTTTTC